TTTAGTAATGAAGAATACACATTTTGCATAACAACACGAGGCTGACTTGTGGGATCGAGTTTAGCTTCACTTTAGCAAATATTGGCATGACTCATTTGGATCTTGGTTCAATTCGACCGGCACTCCATGTTTGCCTTTTAATAATGCGACAAAAATGGTTCAGTAGAAATGCCTGAGCCAAGAATTAGACTGGATTGGATAACTAAATCTTAGGATTTTTCGTGTGTAAGTAGAGTTTCGAGATTACCAGTAAATCAGTAGTATGACATGTATTCATTTTTCGAATTAAGTATTGTTTTCCTGACTACTAGTAAATCAGTAGTATGAGATGTATTCACACAATTTCGTTTAAGATGATGAAGGATTGGTAGAAGAAGAATTTTCCCACAATGATATGAATTGAGCTGACGTTTCCATTGCATTTCACATAGTCTTGTTTTCCCAAAAGTTGTTCTCATCCAGGCACCAGTCGACTGCAGTTTCGACCTCGCATCAACTGGTCTTATCAAAACCCTCAGCGGGAGTCGAACCGCGACAGTGCAGGATGGGAACTTGACACACTAACCACTCTACTCTAATACGAAAATGTGAATTTTCAAGGAAAGCCAGGCCTTTTTGCCATATCATATTCTTTTGGTGGGGTTGTCGATGAAGCAAACGTATATTTGCTACGTCAGCTCGACTCATATGATTGTGGGAAAGTTCTTTTTCTACCAGTCCTTCATCACCTTACAAGAAATTGGGTCAAAACATGTCATACTACTGATTTACTGGTAGTCACGAAAATAATACTTAATTCGAAAAATAAATATTATGAGTACAGCAATGACTGATTCGAGAAGAGTTGTATTTGGACAGGCCACACATTTCTAATCATACACGTGGCGTCGTGGAGGCAATAAGACGAAGGAGTCTGAGGTTAACAGGCTCAAATCATCGGGACATGGAATTGATAAAATTGAGGAAGATTTCGGCATTACAGGACAATTAATCTGCATTAATAAGGAATAATAATAAGAATGCATCGAAATGATTGTGTAGATCAAGATGGACAGATTTACAATTCTACTCGGTCCCTGAAGATTCCGTTCTGTCGGACTTCCAAAAAGACGTGTGGAATGCCAGAAATGGTGTAGAGACAAACGGATGAATTCCTGGGATTTGTCTTCGCTTCGAGAGGAAGAGGTAGAGGATGAAGATGAGTTTGATGACATGGATGATGATGATGATGATGATGGTCATCATCATCATCATCATCATCATCATCGTGTCAAAAACATGTCATGACGAGGCGAATGTTGAGATTCGTCAATAAGAAAACAAAGTCATGCCATAATAAGTGCGTGTCTGGTGCAGCTTTTCTGCAACGTGTCTGCCATGCCGGCACAGACGACTACCGGGCAGGCGGGACTCGGACTCGTGGGGTGCTGAACCGAGACTTGCTGTACCAAATGCGACCCTCACATCTGCCAATGTCTCTTCCAAACAACTGTACCGTAGAAATGAGCAAATCTTCGCTTGATTGGTACTGGTCTTGTCAGCTGACGTCAAGTGGGCACTCATTCAATATCACTCCCATCCGCACTGACAACCCTACATCTCAACCTCAAGTGGCACCGTCTGTCCTCTTCTGCCCTCAAGACGTCCGCCAGCATCGCAGGTTCGAGTTGACAGCCTCTGCTGCCTGATTGGCCGCTTAGCTCGTGTCCGTGGCGACTGATGTCCTCCAGTCGTCATGGTGCAATATTTTTCCTTTTTTTCCCTTTAATTTGCATACTTTTACTGTACCGATGGTGAAAGTTGACCCTGAGACTAGCATTTGTCTCTTCGCTGAGGTTGTCGAGAGGTCAAAGTTTGCACGAAATGTCCACACGACGCAATTTCAATTCTCGATGTGGCTAATTTACGCATCGTATCTCTCCACCTCTTCTGAACCGAATGGAAGGTACAGCAAACCGAATCTTTTAAAGGATTTCTAGAATCCCAGCTTCTCTTCCATGTCCAACCGTTTTCTACGTCAATACAAAGAAATGAAGAGTGGGTTATCACTAGTCGATTAAAACAAGCGGCTTTGAGGAGACATAGCAACAGAATCCGTTTTGACTAGAACCCAAACCAGACACTCTCTCAAGCACTCTTCTTCACTTTCAATTCGAGGACCTCTTTGGAGTACAAACATTGCAGAATACATTTCCTTTTAAGTAATTTTTCAAGCAACCTGTAGATCAAATAGAACAGAAGTTTTCATCCTCTTTTGTTTATGGTGATGATCGAGCGGAACCGATGCTTCCATTACATTTCACAAAACCCTGCTTTCCCAAAAAGGTATTCTCATCTTTTGAGAAGGTAAGGTTATATTAAATTGAATGAAATCATCATGTCTGCTGATATGATTGTGGGCAAATTGAACCATTAGTCATATCACCAGCATAAACTTCTCATTTAAGAGGAAATAGGCCAAGTTTGAACTCGATTTCGCAACTTGGTCGTGTTGCCATGGTGACATAATTGCACGCAGTTTGCCCATAGTCGTCTGCTTTAGTAGGCATGACAATTACCAGCCGTGGATCGGGGATTTGGCATATTGCCAATCTCCGCGACAACTCGTTGGAAAGGCAACCTTTGACCAATTTCATTGCAAACGATTGTGATTTCACATCTCCATCTCTCCTGCTACAACTGCCTACTCTCTGCTTTTCTCTCCCACCCGGTCACAATCACGACTTTCAACATGTTCCTATTCAACTTGTCAAGAGGTATGGCCCTTTGCGGCCAGTTTAATGGTCAGTTGTCACGCCTGTTCATCTATCCTGGCCGGACCAATTGGGTCGCCATGACAACAGGACCAAGTTGCAAAAACGTGGTCCGACCACTTGGCTACATCGAAAGGAGGCGACATCATCTCTAAATTGGTTGATATAGCATTTCAGCAGAAAAAACAAAATGGCAATCCGAAATTTCAGAATCCATTAGCGTCAGATTATTTGGGTTGCCACGAAAAGAAGAGGAAGGATGATGTGAAAAGGAGACATTTCCACCGATTCGCAATCAGCATTTCAAGGCAAACGGCCACTTTGTGAAACCCCTCGATCCACGCTTTCGGACAAGACTAACGGTACCACATCAGCTGGCTTGCGTTTCGCCGGTTGTGGTTGTTGTCAGCATGCCTGTTTGATAGGACATGTGTCCGTGGCCGAAGGGCAAGTGTGAATTCTTCTTGTTTTGCTTTTTTCCTCTTTCTTCCACATTCAGCGCAAGCCATCAAGTGCTACACATGCCTCTCCTGTGGACCGAAATTCGAAGAGCAGAGGGCGAGGATCGTAGACGACTGCAGGTTTTGCAAAGTAAGCCACTACAGCTTTTTTCCGTCAGCCCCATTCCTCCCCGACTCCACCCGGCCGAAGGGTCTCAGTCGGGCATACAGACTACTTATAGCCGAACCAATCGCCGCATAAGTAGAGTGATAGATGGATTGAAAAAAAAAAAA